TCTAACACATTTTAATGACCACTAGCGCAGTGTGATTTTTACTTTCCAAAATAAAGAGTTTACACAGAAAACCACACTTTTCAGCTTTTCATGTATTTTAAAACCGGGTTTTTTGGAGACCTGGAACATAAATGCGCCTGTCCCTGATGCACTTCAGTCAACTTCTGTTCTATAGATCATAAAAAATAGACATGACAGTCAAGTCGCAATAAGAGGTGGTTGAGGTATATTTTTCCATTTCCAAAAAGTGATTAATTTGACACAATTCAGTGGGTTAGATACTGAACTTAGAGAACAGAAGCAAAGTATCGATCCTATCCCACTACTATGATCAGATACCAATACATGCGTTGGTATCATTCTATCGGTCTGCACACCTATAAAAAGCAGATTGGTGTTTACAAATGGCACAATCGGAAACATCTCAGCATGCTCGCAGGTGTTGAGTAATTAGAAAAAGTACCTTTAGTGTCATAAATCCATTTACTTTTTTGGGGGGGAAAAGCTTTATATAACTGTTAAACTTTATTATTATTATTATTTTTATTTTTAAATCTCTTTACCTGTTTTGACATCTGCAAAGAAGCAGGAGGGAAACGAGGAGCCTTGCCTTGACGGATATCCGGCTCACTTTACTGTTGAGAGCTACCACACACACACCCAGAAGGAGACAAAGAACAGAATAAAAAGGGCATCACAGAATCAATAAATAACACAGAAACAACACTGAGGTCAAGGATTCCCCGTAAGGCCAGACACGGGAAAAGTCTTCACCTCACTGCATACAGAGAGCATTACAGCAAACACTAAATCAAGCAGCGGGACAATCTCTGTTTCAATTGGCGTGGGGTGAGGGGGGGGTGCAAGGTGCAACTATTTAATATTAAACAAAAATAAATAATTAATTCTTTGGTAAAAATTCCAATAAGGAAAGAAAGAAAAAAACAACTCGGCATGCTCAAAAACACCACATAGGCTGGTAAATAAAAGAGGCTCATAGAGAGGCATGTTTCCTGCAGTATCAGTCCCATTGTGTAAAAGCTTTCACTGCGTTCCAATCCAGCCTATTACAATAAACGGGCCACCCCCTATCCTCCCATCCCTCTTCTCCACCTTTCCCCACTCTCTCCATCACCGAAAAAACCCATGAAACTCACCCTTATTTGTCTGATCAGAAGGAAAAAACGGAGAGGTAACGGGAGGAAAAATAGGGGCTAACCTGCACGCGGATCCATGACCAGCAAGGTTTAGTTTTTGTTGCTTTCTTTCCAAACAGCGACAGGAGGCTTTGGGGTCTCCAGTCAGCGAAACTGGAAGATCGCGGGTCCAATCACTAAATTCCCGTGCTGGTCGGCTCTCTCTCCCCTCCTCCTTCTCTTTAGCTTCTTTCTGCTCTCTCTCTCTCTCTGTGTGTGTGTGTGTCTCTCTCTCTCTGTCTCTCTCTCTCTCCTTCAATCAGCGCTTCCCCATCAGCAGCTGTTGTAGTAGTCTGTCTGCTCTGCTCCTCCTATAGGCTTGACCGCCTCGCTTATTCTTTAGTGCTTGCTGCGCCGCGTTTCCCGCATCGCCTCCAGAGGTGTTGCAGCAGCAGCATCACACGGAGTGCCTCCTCGCTGGTGTCCACCGACCTCGGAGGAGACCGGATTCGCTCCACATTTTTCTTGTCTCTGTGCCCTTTCCTGTACCGCCTACTGCCGGTGCGAGAGAATGAAGTGCCGCAACAGAGGCTAATAATTACCAAATAGGTGCTCCCCATTGGTGGGCTGGAAGGAGGATGCGCAGAATTCGACATCATCCATTAATGAGAATGTGAAAGAAGCATGCAATATATGGGAGCTCAAACTACTTCCACGGACTTTTGCACCTGAAACGTCACACAGTAGCACACTACTGAAATCATTTAACCAGGATTTTAATTTGGCCTCTTTAGCTTTTGCTATTTCTTATGAAGAAGTGCCTGATTTCAGTAGTTTAGTCATTCTTTCTAAATAGCCTATTTGTTTGAATTACTATATGTAGCCATTAGCTAACAGCTGATCCTTGTAGGCTAGCTAATAGTAACAATTTTTATACATATTTGTAGACTGCAATTTGGACTCTTAGCCTGTTTTATTATGCTAGTTGTGTGTTATCAATACTTACAAATATTTCACTAAAACAGCTTAATTAATAACTTACTATTGCAGAGATTGTTTTTGTGATTTTTATTATCTGTATTTAAAAATAATTTGTTTGTTGGTTGGATTTGTGCTACCTCCACTGTCCACTCTTTCAATCCTTTCATTTCATCCACCTAGATGACTATTTAACAGTTTAAGTTGTGCCATATAGTTAGTTCACTTGCTATCCCAACATATTTGTATTTATAGTTGCTGTAGCTATTCTGTTTATTATTGATAAAGTTCTACTGGGTTTTGAAATAAAGTCAGGTTTTGAAACATCAATAATTGGTTTATTAAGTTGGCCGGACAAGTAAAACAACATGATAAATGTGTATAATTACAGAAAGAGCTTTCATTGCTCATACTGTAATTGTAAACTGTACAACTTTCATTAGTTCACAGAAAATTTCTTTTTTTTAATCAATTCTTTTTAAAAAAAAGATTATTCACTGTAAAGAAAGAAAAAAATGAGGATATTTTCTGTCTTTTAATTGTTTGGTAAAGGCAGCGTGGTGTGCATGTGGGACATATTTATCAATGGAAAAAGCTGTAAAACTTATGAAAGCACAGTTAAAAGTTACAAATATAGACACTTCTTCACATTTGAGCTGTCCAGTTGACCGGACTGGAGTCTTTGCCCGGCCGATTCTGGCCCCCTGGCCTTATTTTTGACACTGTTTCCACTGTTCACCCATTCCAAGTCATAAAATGTGTCATTATTCGTGACAGTAACTATGAGTAACGAAGTGAAATGACTTGTGTGTCCATATGTGTGAAGAGTCTGCGACCCGTATGACAACACAGACTGGGGGCAAATCACTGTGAGAGAAACAGCATTCGGTCGGCTTGTTTAACCCTGAGCCACTAAAACAAGCGCTCGCAAGAAACACGTCAGAGTAGTTATCATCCTGACGATTGCCATAAGAGGGTAGCCGAGTTCCATGTTTCGTAGACGATAATTAGCTGGTAAACTTAACCTCCCTCTACTTTCTTGAATCCGTCTGGAGGTGCAGTCTGCGGACGGGAGCTGCAGCCAAAATACCCTCGGGAGCGTGATTTCAGCACCGCGCCTGGTGCGAACAAGCTCGCTGAGTGTTGACCGTTTGGACGAGAGTGAATGAAAGTGATGGCGAAAAAGCCCCCCCCTCCTTCCCCCCCAAACTCACCACCACCTCTCTCTGTGGTAGGAAGATAAGGGTTGGGGGAGGTGTTGTGAGATGCTTTTTTATCCTGGAGGGGGCTCCAGGGGGAAATCGACTGGCTTTCAATATTTTGCCCTGCAGGCATCCCACTGTTTCAGACCTCTGCGTTACTGCAGGCAAGACTGGGTGGAATACGAGGCTATGCAGAGCACAGTCACACAACACATCAGACAGGCTCCAACACGCATAAGAGACCAGTGATATTAATAATAATAAACTTATAACCACAATTAAATTCGGGGAAACATTAAGCTGCAAACGGGAGGAAAGAAGTTCATTTTCAGTGTCTTCATGTTATTTTCTAATTAATGATGTCATCAACTTTCTTCTTTCAGGAATGCTGTTAACGGAAACAAGAAGCTGATCGCCATCTATGACACCCGGTATGAACTATCACAGCACGCGCATTCCTCATCCAGGCTCCTCCACTGGGTCTTGTGCAAGCGCGTCCGCGCGTGCACGCGGTCCTAATTAGCCTGTTCACAAATTTTTGACCCCGACTCTCTAAATAATTTATGGTGCAGTCCACACATTTTAAATCAGACACAAAATGGCCATCAACAGATAACAGGCCAATAAATCATAAGCATCGATTAATGGGTTGATAAATGCTGCCTGTCTCCACTCCATATTGTTCAGGTCCCGCCATTTTTACAGGAAACCCAAGGGAAGGGGATTGGTGAAGATGGTGTGGGGTGCACTGTAAAAAAATGAGAATTTTAATAAGAGAGTTTGGCTTAGTGCTTTGTAATGTGGCTGTTTTTGAGAGTGGGAGAAGGGGTGGGGCAACGGCTTAATTAGTGTTCTAAAAATCATGTCCACTGATTACTGAGGTAATCGAGGAAGTGAAGATAAGTAATCAGTGGAAACAAGCTTAACTAAACAACATGTGTATTTTCAGTTCAATGTCTTTCAAATAGCCCAAATCACAACAAAAGTCACCTCAGTGTCCTTTATATTGTAAAGTAAAGACCCTATGTAATAGAGAGAAACCCCAACAATCAAACGGCCCTCTTTGAGCAAGCACTTGGGGACAGTGGGAAGAAAAACTCCTTTCAAACAGGAAGACCCTGTTAAAAAGGCAGATCCATTTAAAGTAGGCACAGCCATGCCAAAATGGAATCTCCCACATTCTGTAGCAGAATCAACCATCATTTTTTTTAATCATTACTCAATGACTCTGAGTAAGTGCGACTGCCATATGGTTACAAGTCAGCCACCTTATTTATTGCTGAATGCATACATAAACATGTAAACATAAAGTTGAATTATAACTTGCTGAACTGCCCCCCCGGCCCCCAGTTGATGTTTATTTGTTAAATTTAAATATATCTTTACCGTCCTCAAAAAACAAACAAACAAAAATACAAACAAAAAAAGAAACCGCAACTGCGCCTCTGCTGATAAATTCTAGGGCCAAAAACAGACACGAGGTTTATTAGCAGAAATAAGTGGATTTTAACAAAAGTCTGGTTTAAAATGCATTCCCTAAAAAAGAAAAAGAGTTTAACAGCTCACCAAATATATAAAATGAAAAGCTTGAATTCGCAGATTCTACCTCAGCATTTTTTTTACAGTGTTTTAAGTGTTGGGGCTTCGCTTCTAATTTGAACAAGCCGAGTGCCTTCACCACCAGCGCCGCCACCAGCAGCAGCAGCAGCAGCAGCATCGCCCCCCTGTATGTTCTCTCCTCATCAATATGCGCTTCAGCTCCTGAATGTAAGAGCCTCTCGCACAGTCAGAGACGGCAAAAAGGAAAGCGGAGCCAATATTTATGACAGGGAGGCGATGTCAGCCCATATTTCACATCTGACTCCATCTACAGCGAGCTGCTGACTTTTCCGCGGCTCAGTCTACTTTCTTGCTTTTTTGGGGGGGCAATCGATGGATTTACTCTGGATTTGAAGAGTGTCCGTCTCGGCTGTTGATTGCAGGGGGGTGAGCTCTCTGCTGTTGCTGCCTTCGTGCTTTACAATTACAAAAAGGAAAAGGGGGGATGTTTGCTTTGCACAAGCTTCGTCAATTTCGCGTCTTGTCCGCACTGGTTATCGGTTCGATTGTGTGTTGCGCAAAAAGGTGAGTGATCTTCTCATTATTTTCTTCTTCTTTCTTTTCTGAGAAGTCAAGGTTATTGCCTGGGCTGATTGATGCGGGAGTCAAGGTGATGTTTTCTTTTCTTTGCTTCTGCTGTCATTTCAGCGTCAATGAACCGGGCAACATGTCTTTTGTGAAGGAGACGGTGGATAAACTACTTAAAGGATACGACATCCGACTGAGGCCGGACTTTGGAGGTATGCTCCGCATTTATCCCCCAGCTTTATTTTTGGCGCCATTTACAGTGTTGTGGTCAGACGTAGAGGTGGAGGTCTGTAATCATGACATAATTACTCTGTTGTAGGGCCCCCTGTCGCTGTTGGCATGAGCATAGACGTGGCCAGCATAGACATGGTGTCAGAAGTCAACATGGTGAGTGGAGTCACACTTCATGAACCCTTAATCCACAGCAGTCCTGCCTGTGCCTCAGTGCCAGGGGCATATACAGAAGGGGGTCATGGGGTGGTACCTGTACCCCCCCCCCAAATGTTCCTGCCTCCCAACAAAGCTGCTGAGCGAGACTACTGCTGTGTTGCATGTAATATAGTGCATTTTACCAAGTACTTTACTGTAAAACTTAACAGTTTTAATGTACTTTAAGTATTTCTCTTATGCTGCTTTGTTGTCCACTATATTTTGGATTCAAATATTGTACCTTTTACTCTATAGTATTTATTTCAATGCTCTTGTTAAAAAAACAAACCAAGAAACAAAAACAAAAAAATAACCGTGTACTTTTTCCATGTATTTTTTCTGAATTTAGGGTGTGATTTTCAATGCATGTATTTGCTTCTTGGTTCATATGGTAGAGCAATGCAGTAACAACTGATCGTGTTAACAGACAGACAAACCAAATTATACCACAAGTATTTCTTGTAAGAAGTATACAATGTGTTTGCACTTTTGTCTAAAATACCTTAACAGTACATAAAGAATTGCATTGTAAGTTTGGGGAACCTGCATCATAAGACAGGCTGTACTATGTACTAAGTGTAACCCATAAATCTAAGAGCTTAAAAACGTATTTCACCATTCAGTATTTTATACACTCTATATAATGGCACAGGGCTGCACATGATAATTTTGATCAAATATTCTTAGTTCCTGTAGCCCCCCCCC